GAAGTTTGCATGACATGGGGAAGCTGGTGGTGCGGGTTCCTTGAATGTGTTCTCCAAAACCTCAAGACATGTGAAGGCCAGGATGAAAACACAAGCAAAGAGGCAACCAAGAAACTGGAGCCTGTCTGTTCAACACACTCGTTTACTGGAGAGGGCGCTAAAGAGCAGTGAATGCTCTTATGTGCTTGGTGCTCAGTGAAGGGGCAGAGGGCATACTGAAAAGGAGTAAAGGGTGGTAAATACCAGGGGGCCCAGGCAGAGGTAAAGGAACGGGCAAGTAGGACAGGACAAGGTATGAAGGAAGGAAGAGAAGGTGAAAAATGGAAGCTGACAAAGAAAGGAAAAACCAAAGGGTGATTCCACAAAAGAGTCTTGGAGACAATTATTCAACAATCTAAGAAAAATGCAACTGTGATGAAAAAGCAGGTCAAACAGTCCTAGGAAAGACTATAAAGAGCCAGAAAGTCCAGTTCTCACGAGTAATTATATACAATTCTTATACTATTTATTTAACAGTGTAGAAGTCAGAAATATCTGCAAGAAAAAAGTTACTAATATTTGCATATTAGGTGCATTTCCACATATCTTAATTATTTTCATACCATGTGTGTTTACATATATAAATCAATGCCTACAAGGATCTTTATAATCTGAACAAATGTATAAATGCATAAATTATATTAAATATATTTATACATAAATATTAAAAATTCTTCTGAATAATACCATGCAGAATGTAAAGTTCTTTACCTCCATAAAGACATTCCAGAAAAAGAAACGAAGTTTCAGAAAAATCAAATGACTCTCAGGGTGACTGACAGAAACAAGTTAACCCAAGTTAACATTCAGACAAGATTCCTATCCAACCCCAGAAGTACCATAAAGTCCAGACTCATTCTTCTAGGAATAATTCTTCATTTTACAGCAATACCAGATAAAAATAAGTGTTTTTAATTTAATAGGGACTTTTCACCATTGATTAGGAGTTATCTAGTTCTTCTCACTTCTGCCACAGGCCTGCTCACTGACACCATCATACTCATCCTTGGGTACTACAGCATGCTGATTCTACCTTCCAAAAGTCTTTAAAATGCCTCAAAATTCTATTCTTATTCTCTCTCCCAGGACTATAATTTAAATAGCATCTAACCTGAGTTCCTCCCCATCAAGTGTCTACCCCAACCTGCTGGGCCCCCAGACACCATATTACTTTTCAAGAATCAAAGCATTAATCATCTATCGCTCCCATGTTCAAACTGCTTCATGGCTCCTATACGCTACTTACCTGAGCACAAGCTTCACATTCACGTCCAAAGCTCTCTACCACATGTCCAACTGTAACTCTCAATATATCTTCTACCACTTTCCCCACAGCCCTAAGATCCAGCAAAGCCAAACCCAGAACCCCTCACTCTTCTCCAAACACACCCACGTGCATTTCTGCCTCTAAACCATTCCTTGAATTTTTCTTCACTCAGAATTCCAAAAGTCTACCTCTTGGATTAAAAACCTCCTTATACCTAAAGATTTATGTCCAATGCTACCTTTTTCTAGAGAACTTTTAACCACAATATTTAATTCCTACCTTAATGGAACCCTCATAGAAAGTTGTAGAAACTCATAGTCTGCATTGCTTTATAGGCATTTGGTATTTCTCTGAACCTTCCCACTCAGTGGGAAGCTGTAATATATTCGTCATCTTTTATAGCACCTTTAACAGCAAACAGAGAGTCTAGCAAACATACAGCACTTCATAGTATTTGCTAAATTGGATTCAATTAGCTCTTCCAAGTTCCTAAAACTGAAACTCTTTTTTTTTTTTTTTGCGGTACGCGGGCCTCTCACTGTTGTGGCCTCTCCCATTGCGGAGCACAGGCTCCGGACGTGCAGGCTCAGCGGCCATGGCTCACGGGCCTAGGCGCTCCACGGCATGTGGGATCTTCCCAGACCGGAGCACGAACCCGTGTCCCCAGCATCGGCAGGCGGACTCCCAACCACTGCACCACCAGGGAAACCCCTGAAACTCTTTTAAGTGATATATTTCAAAAGTGATTTTAAAAGATGTTTAAGAAACCTATATTTTATTTAAGTGTAATCACAGGTATTCAGAGGGTTGTCCAGGATGCCTTGAAGTACTAACTGAAAGTTTGTTTTTATGCAACCAAACATTTGACTGTCCTCAAAGAAATGAGAACCAAAATGAGTGTACTCCTCATTATATAATCACACCCACAGGAACAATCACTGGGCCAGACCTTTATGCTACAGAAGTCCAAGGAAGATTCATGTGCCAGGAGCCAGGGGAGACTCAGAGAAACAGACCACCTGTGATAGTGTAAACGTCATCACTCTCAACAAGCGCAACTAAACTAAGTATGTCTCTTATGATTCACCGTGTAAGGATCCCAATGGACTTGACTTTAAAAGGGCATGGTGCATCTCCTACAGCTGCTCTGAGGCTGGGCCAAAATAGTTATCCTTACTTGACCTTTTGAGCTTTGGATCAATAACAGGCACAGACTACATTAACAAAACAAACTTGCTTTCACTGTATCAAATGACCAACAAATACAAAGCCAGCTTATGTATCTATCAATCTCTCTATCTTTCTATCCATCCATCTATCCATCCCAGCTCACCTTTTGTGCATCACAAAATAATGTGTTATGTAGACATATATAAGCATATTAATGTGTATTGAGCACTTGGTGCAAAACACTTTTCTAAGTCTTTTGCATATGTTAAACCTCACAACAATCCCATAAGGTAGGTACTTTATTATTCCCATTTTACAGATGAAGAAATCAAGGCTCAGGAAGTTTATGTAACTGCCCAAGTTCATACAGCTGTTAAGTGTGGGATTTGAATCCTGAAAAATCTCCCGCAGAGCCCATAGTCTTAGCCACTCTACGAGACACTCCCAGAGCCTGATTTTGTTCTCTTCACGGAGGTGGGGGAAGTCTCTGGAAGCTACTCTATTTCTGGAAATCACCTATAGGGGCTTATCATAGAGGTAAAGGCCCAGGTGCACATAAAAACATAAAAGACAACCTGCTACATTTCTATCTTGCTGGCTATAATATAGGAATTATTTCTTGAAGACATAATTGAGTAGCTAAACTTGAAGCACAGAACAGGCAGGCAAGCTGGCAGGACCGCCAGATAGGCTGTGTGTAACACTGTCCTCACTGCCCTTGCAAATGTAGCCAGCACATTCGCAGGGGCAGATTCTGCACCAGGCCTGGAGAGTAGGTGTCAATGAGAAACAGTCAGAAGAGGACGGAAAACGAACACAGTTATTTCATTCAGCCTTAAATAAAGAGACACATTTCACCTTCTACGGGAATGCACACACTAGCAAACAAAACCATGCATGACTCAGTGCCGCATTTTGTACCAAGGAGGAAGGAATGTAGTGACAAAGATGGTAGGAGGAAACAATGAATCATTTCCCATGGGAGGTAAACAAAAGTATACATACCATAGCATTAGTTTCACAGAAAGGGAACCGATCAGCTTCCTCAAAAGGGGAGTTTTATCTGGCAACCAAAACTAGCTCACTGGCTGAAAAACTGCATCTTGCTTCTTACTTTTCCAATGAAATGGCGATACAAAAGGCCCGAAAAATGTGTTCAGACTCATGATATTGAAGAGAACTTGCCAGAGGCAATCAAAGCCAGAGAAGCCAGGTAGCAGTTGAATTTGGAATGAAATATTAGACAATACTTAGCTTTCATTCCAAAGGGCTGCCCTTAATAACACTGCAGCTTGTGGGAGTGACAAAGCTAAAATAAGTTGTGGCATTCAATATGTTTGAAGGATTGAGCCGCAGCCTTCAAGGCTAAACAAACACTCAGAAGCACCTGTGCCCCTCCAAATTACTCATGCGACTATATTTTTTTTCATGGCCAAACAGCCTGCATATTAAGTATCCCCCCCACCCCGCACTTCTGGGCCCAGATGCCAAGGAAAAAAAAAAACATTTTGCTATAAACTGATTCGTGATCTCTCTGTTAGTGTTGGACTCTCATTCTCAGCTACACTGTGGGTAAAATAAGTAGATTTTCTTTTTTTCCTACATATTTGCCAAACCCTGGTGGGAAGGCACTGTGTAGTCCTTTTACTGACAGAGTGTCTGGATCATTCACAATGACCTGATTGAGGTTCTTTGGCCCTAAGCAAACAGCTCAGTTATGTGACACTGGTTAGAGGTTAGGGGTATTCTCTATGAAGAAACAGCTTGACCCTTTCCAGTATCAGAATCCAAATCACTCCTTAAAAATGTGCAAGGGAAATGAATGTATTTTCACTCCACCCTTACAAAATACCAAGTTGCACCACAGCCGAGAAATTGGAGCCGCTATAACAATACAAAAGCCATTGCTTCCAAGAAAATAGGGCCCTGCTTGTTTTTCGGATACAGTTTTCTGATATGTGCTTCTCTTTGTGAACTATATGCTAAGTATGAGAGGGCAAGTCCACGTTCAAAGACACAATCTGCTCCGCTGGAATTTAGGGAAATAATATTCCCCTGTGTTTCCTTGGTAAAAATAAAATACAGGCCAGAAACTAACACAAGATTGTAAATCAACTATACTTCAATTAAAATAAAATAAAATAAATACAGGCTTACAGTCTGCTAATATTATGATTAATATTCGTGATTAGAGTAGGAGAGCCCAGCGAAATAATTCCATTTACGAGGCAGTTGGGAGATTTGGTCCGTAATACGGAACTAAAAGTAGAAGCTAAGTGAGATTTATAATTAAGCGAATGAATCTTACACGTATTATTTCCACTGAAGTTTGGACCCCAGGGCGGAGACAAGCGTTAAGAGACATGATTCCAGAACTGGGGAGCAAAAGGAAGGCCTCCCCAGCGGCGATAACTTCCAGGGCTGTAGGAGGGGCCGTCCCCACCCCTCTCGCCCCGGGTGCGCGTGCGTCCCCGCCCCGGCGGGCGCGGTGGGCCAAGCGGAGGGGACAGCGCCGCCCCCTTACCTGCACAGGTGCTCCCGTCGTAGGTCTCGCACATCCACTCATGGCACTCGCACAGGGGCCCGAAGTACACGCCGGGCTCGCTCACGTGACAGATGCAGACCCCGCAGTCGCACCGGCCGCGGCCGTGGCACAGAGCGCCCCCTGGGGGCTGCCCGGGCGCCCGGCACCGGCGCTCCGACTCGGCCCGGGAGAGCCGGCACGCGGCGCCCGGGCCGCTTCTGCAGGGGCGACAAACCACAGCAGGGCCACGGTCAAGCCCAGACACTGCCCCTTCTGCTTGGGGCCCACGTTGCCTCCCAGGGTCCACCCAGAACCCAGATCCCAAACGGAGACGTGCAACCCCATGGATAGGACCAACGTTTCTGGGACCCCACGTTTCTCTGGGGACCAAGCTGATACCACCCACGGGCCATCCCTTAAGAAATGACCACGACCCAAAATGTCCAAGTGGTGACCTGCCCACCTGAGAACAGGACCGTCTTCCAGGTGGACTAGGTGATCCGGCCCTGCCTCTTGGCGTTTTGCCACTGAATCTTACATGCATATTTAAATACAAATTAACCCAAAGTATGACCCTTGGCTGACTTTTCAGTTCTCTTTAAAAAGTCCCATTGCTAGCTGGTGGCCAGGGGCAGTTATTTTATGAAAAATAAGAGATGAATATATAGAAAGAGCTTTACATGTTATGATAGCATAGTGCCTAATGCATTTTCAAGTTGCAATAAGCGATGCTTATGAACTATACTTTTAAAATGTAAAAGTTTGGTTATTGTGATGTGCCCCAAATTCTCTTTTAAAATGTAATGCAGAATGTAATACAGACCCCATGGAATAACTCTGCCTTATAGCTGGTGAGTACACCCAGGTACACATAGGATGGCAGATAATCCTCCTGATATGTATTGGAATAGGAGGAAACTATATATTCATTTAATGATTGTACTTTTGCAAAGGAAAAGCAAAAGGACAAGGGTAAAGCAATACACAGTGTAGATGTAAGGAAAGGAATAGGAACAGGTTGAAAAGTTTATCCCGTGTCCAACTTCCTAACTGCTCTTGGCTTAGGGCAGCCGTCCTGAAGCTTGAGTCCTGCCACACAAAGCAGGGCAGGTCTGTCTGAAAGAAAAACAAATCAGGCTTACCTCAGGGATGGCGAGAAGCTTTGAGGAACAGCTGACAGCCCCGCGAAGAGAAGGGAGGACGCCAGCAGCAAGAAGTTCCGGAAGCCTACGGGACGCATGCTGAGTTTCCCGGCTGTGGAGGCCAGCAGAGCTGCTGCAAGGTGGCGCACACGGGGCCGGGTGTCAGGGAGGTTCGCGGGGACAGAGGTGCCACCAGCAGATGGCCGGGCAGAAGGACCCACAGACACCCAGGCGTGCAGGTCCGGGGCTCTCCCCGGAGCTGCAAGGGTGTGGATGAGCTGCCTGCTAGGATTTAGGCAGCAGCACTGCTCTGGGCGGGGTGCTGGTACGAAACCCCTCAAGTGGAGAGTCTAGGCAGGGAAGTAATTAGAAACAGTTGTACAAGCAGATGGTTTATTTTGCCATAAAAAAAAAGAAAAAAAAATTCCTGTTCACAGATTTGAGAAAATCGTTTCTTTCTTCAAGTGCAGGCCCCAGAAATATTTGACAAGAGGATATTTGGGCTGGCTGATGTTAAAGGGACAGATAAAATAATCCCTGCGATGGGAAGGGGAAGGGGGAGGTTGGTGATGTCAAGCAAGAACACTTGCGGAGGGAATTAGTTTCACCACATGCTTTTCAAAAAGATGCACTGTTTGACTCTTTGAGGTATGAGTTGTGAGGGGCAAGCAAAATTGATAGATAGCACTTTTTTGGACTTTTGATCCTTTGTTTTAAATTATGGGTCTCTCATTTCTTAATCCTTTAAAGAGGGTGTCATGCTTCTAGTTGTTTGGGCCAGTAGTTTATCACACCACATTTTTTCTTAACTTGGACAGTTCAAACTGTAGTTGTCCCAAGTTCACCCTATTCTCCGCCATGGATCAAGTATGAGAAAATAAAATGTGTGATTTGTGTCAATGGCACTGAAGAATCATCAGTGTCATTTATGAAGCACATACTGTGTGCCAGTCACTTCATATATTTTATCTCCAATTGTGACAATAACCACACATTCGTTTACTCATTAGGCAAACGCAGGTTTAGCATCTGTTAGGTACCAGGCTCTGGGCCAGATAGGGAATTAAGGAGACAGGATCCCTGCTCTCGGAATCCACTGGGCTAGCAGACATAAAACAAAATCACAAATATAAAAGGAAGGAAGGTTGAAAGTTACTTCTAGCTTAGCTCCAGGCATCTGATCTAATCAAAATGGTATTTGAGCTGAAGGCTGAAGGAGGAATAGAAGTAAGTTGGGTGGAAATGGGGAAGAGGTGGCAGAGAGTGGGGTAGCATTCTTATTCCCATTATAAAGATCAAGAAACTGAGGGCAAAGGATGACCTCTTGCTCAAAGTGACTGATTTGCTCAAATTCACACAGGCAGTTGGGGTTCAGCCGAAAGCTGTGAGCCCTCAAAGCTCCCACATTGTCCCCTCCATTGTGCGGTCATCTGGGAGAGGTGTTGCGGAAGGTTCTAGGGAAGGGAAGAAACATTCTCCCTTTGCCCTAAGAAGACCTTTAGATGCAGTGGATCCTCATGAAATAGAACCATCCAAGCAGTGGCCCTGGTCTTAAAATCAAGGATCATATAACAGGATGGGATCTCTCCTGTCATTTACCTGAACAGATATAAGACCACCCCCAACATTTACCAAGAAGGCAAAAGGAGGTCTGAACAGAGCCCACACTTTTTCTCCTGCTTCACCAGACTCCGTCTGTACCAGAAGAGGCTCTGCCTGGGGTACATCCTCAGCCCAGGCAGCTAAGCCTCCTTCAAAGGCTGACCCTTGGTCGACCCTTGGGCCCAAGCGTGTACACGCTGGTGGAGGGATCTGCCATCCGGAGGACAGACTGGGGAGAGGCGTGCAAAGGCCAGAGAGTGGTCTGGGCAGGGAATTCTGGAGTCATGGGTACCCACAGTGTGGTTTAGAAGGAGCCGCAAATGCTCATTGGCAGGTGCCCTGGATCACGTGAGCTACTCATCCTGTAGGGGAGGAGGTATGTCTGGAGAAGAGACAGAGGGAGTCACTAAACCAGTCATTTCCGAAGTGTGATTATCTGTGAATGAGCCGCAGCAGCAGCAGCAGCGCCTGGGGACTTGCTACAAATTAAAGTTCTCAGCCCCACCCCCAGACCTACAGAAACACCGGCTACATTTTAACAATACTGCTGAGAACACTATTTGCACATCATATTTGGGAAGCTTTGCAAGCCCCGGGGCCCAGGGCTGGGGCCACGGATGCCTGGATCTAAGGATGGTAGCCACACTCACTCCTAGCTCAACTCCTGGCATCCTGTTCCTTCCTGGCCACGTTGTAACTCTGTGAGGACGTAGCAACAGGCTCTCCTGCCAACATCTAAAAACCTTGGTGACTCAGAGAATATGGGAACCATAGAAGGGAAACATCAATTCCAAAGCCTCACTAGGAATTTGCAATGAAAACACAGAACTTTTAATAAATGAGTCATGTATTACTTTTTGCGTATTTTCTGAGGGGAAAAAAAGAATCGCTGTGGAATAGGGAACTGGTGTTTGAACATCTCTTTCAGGAATTAAAACATTTCTTTTAATCTCCTACAGTGTACCGTGCAATGAGGAATATTATCATGAGCAGCGTGCAGCTGTGAAGCAGAGATAGTATGTTCTAGGTGACTGAAAGTATTGAAATATTCAGATCATTATATCACTGCGACTCAGAAATAACATTCCCAGAAAGTTGAAATAGTTATATTGCAGCTGAGTTGGTAACTCAGTAGAAAGTCTAGGATCCACACAAACTCTGGCAAGATAAAAGAAAATAACATTTTCACGTTTTAGCAAACTTTGATTTAATTTTTTTCTGCCAAAGTACCAAATATCTTGGAACGACCTACTTTCTTCCCTCTCCTAGTTTGCAGAAAACTGGAGGACACACATCTCTTGAGGGCCAATGTGGAAAGGACCCAATTGCTGTGTGAAAGGTCCTGGGTTTCTCACTGGCCCCAAAGACCCTGTGACAGCTCTGGGGGAAAGGCCTGGGGGGTGTCCTAGTATCTGAAACCAAGCTCAAAGGGGTTGAAAACATCTTAATCCTTAAATATAGTTCTGAGTCATCAAGTCACAAACTCATAGAATCTGGGGTTCAAGAGATATTTTAAAGGTCGTCTAGTCCAAAATTAAATTTATTGACAATGTACAGCACCCCTGCCAAATGATTAGGTACTGAGTCTACTCGGTAAGAATGAAAACTAAGGGAAACACACCCTTCCTGAGAGCAGCTCTGAAGTTTTTACCCCTTGGATCCAGATCTGCTCTAAGAGGCCTTTGAAAATAATGTCCTGGTCATGAGCTGCTTAAAATATTTTAAGATGTCTAATATATGTGTTCCCCAGGCCCACCACCTGTCCACATACTCCCCAAATAATTCTACCCTTTTCAAGATATACATCACCATTTCCATCACCTCTTCCTTGTGTATTACACTGTCAAGCCTCCAGTAGCCTGGTTTCCTGAGCGTTTTTGCTTTGTCTGGTGTGGATGCTTCTGTAAAGCGTGGCAGGTACCACTGAGACCATAAGGTAGGTGTGGTTGAAAGTGCGGGGAACTGCTGTTTGGGAAAATGGGCCTTGTACATGAGGGCAGAGAAAGACCGAAGAAAGGCAGACCATTCCAGATGGCTAAGGGGCAGGTGTCATAAGCAAGGGAACTTACATATGAGGCTTGTCTTGGATGATTCAGAATGAGTAGATCTCTGCACCTGCACACCAATATCTTAAAAGTTTATTCAGAGGCCTTAACGGAGCATATACGGTCCAGATGGTCTTGACGACACGTTGCTCTCTCAAGGCTGCATCCTTCTAAAGGGCTCTCACTGTGGAAAAGTGGACAGAAGGTACACTCCAAGGGCAGAGGAGGAGAGGAGGGGCCTCTGATTTCCGAGGTCCAGCTCACAGGTCAACTGGTGGTCACATCCTCACCTTGACCTCTACCAACTGGAAACAGCTGGGTGCTTTCACCATTCTTATTTCATATATTATATTTCTGCTAATAAACTGAAGATCACATTACCTTTTTGACTGTCTCATTACTCCAGTCGTGTGCTTTTACAAGTGTATGTGCCCCAAATAGAAGTCAATATTTATCCTTGTTAAATTTTATTTAGGCTCAGTTCTTTTATCCAGACAGTCAGAATCATTATGGATACAGATTTCATATTTCTCTCACCCTTTCCAAAGTAAATATGATGAGCATGCTTTCTGTATCTTTCTCCAAATAACTGATGAGGTAGTTGAAAAAAATTAGGCTGAGGACCAAGCTTAGGAGAGACCTTTCTTCAAGACAATAAGAATTCCTTTATCAGCACATTTTGAATATGAAATCTAACCACTTACCAGTGTCCTGAGTTGTATGGAATCAGCCCATGTCTTCATTTTGTTCACAAG